TATCTGGGGTCTCCACCCACGGGCCGGGCCTTGAGCAGCCAGTGACTTCCAGGCCTGCCTACCCAGAGCCCCCAGGTATCTTTCTCACCCAAGTTCATCATCTTATGCAAGAACAACTTGCTGTTCCTCAGGACACCAGGCAGTTGACCTACAGGCTGCCCCCTGCAGAGGTCTGCCGCCTCCGAAAGCAATGAGGCAGAACCCACCAGGGGCACGGTCTGGGTTTGTTTTGGGGTTTGTGGAGCAGCGGAGCTGTGATCCCCTGACACCTTGTCCTGCTGAATTGAGTGTGACTCCTGGCGACTGTGTGACACAGCAGAGCCCCCCAGAGGGCCCTAGGATGACAGCTTACAGAAGCGGGTCACCAGTCATGGCTGGAGACACACCAGCGGCCGCTGGTAGCAGTCAGGTGCTTCCCACTGCACAGCCAGCATCGCAGAACAGCCTTACTTGTTGGCTTTTGGCTGAGAGCTTATTCTTTTTATTATTATTATTAGACTAGTTTATTTACAAAATTCAAACACAACGTTTCCCAGAACATGTTCTTCCAATTTCCCTCACCCCCCCATCAAATTGTACAATTGCATGATTGAGCCCCCCCCAACACATCCTCATCCCTCAGTTTCCGTCCTACCCTCTCCTTGAATCCTTCTACTCATCCTACAAGAATGGTTCTAGACCACGTTTACCCTGTGGGACTGAGTTAGTTCACTCAGCATAATGCTCTCCAGTCCCTCCCAAGTTGAGCAGTAATTTACAAAATCATTATAGTATTCCATTGTGTGAATGTACCATAATTTCTTAATCCATTAGATTGTGGTTGGACATCTGGGCTGTTTTCATGTTCTTGCAATGGTCAGTAATGCTGCTTTGAACATTGGTGTATAAGTCTCCATTTGTGCCTTAGTTCTCATTTTTTCAGGGTATATTCCACATAGTGAAATAGCTGGATCATATGGAATTTCTGTAGTCAGCTTTTTGAGGAAGCGCCAAACTGCCTTCCAGAATGGCTGTACCATTTCACTATCCCACCAACTTTGCATGAGTTCCTTTCTCGTCACATCCTCTCCAACATTAATTACTTGCTGCCCTGTTAAACTTTGCCACTGTTATTGGAGTGAGATGGTATCTCATTGTGGTTTTGATTTGCATCTCTCCTATTGCCAGTGATTTGGAGCATTTCTTCATGTGTCTGTTTGTAATTAATATATCTTCCTCTGTGAAAATTTTTTCCATGTCTTTTGCCTATTTTGTAATTGGGTTATTAGTCTTTTTCTTCCAGGAGTGAGTATTTGGTAAAATTTCATTACAAGATTCTTGTCTGAGATGGTATTACCAAATGTTTGTTCCCAGTTGGCAGGTTTTCTTTTAATCTCATTCAAAAAAGTTTTTCTTTGTATTATTTTGCTTTGCTGTTACTGCATACTGTTGAGTTGGATCTGACTGTCACAGGAGAAGATTGCCTCCACTTCTCCAGCAGAGCATCTAGTGGATTCGAACTGTGTGCCTTCAGGATTGCAGCACAGCTTCTTGCCACTAGGCCACCACAGCTGCCCCTTGGAAAAATTTTTTGATGCATACATGGATTTAATCTTTAGAAAATCCCATTGATCAATTTTATCCCCTTCAGATTGTTCGATTTTAGCTGTATTTGGTAGTCTCTTTAGAGCTAGGACTAGCGCTTCGAAGCTTGATCCCAGTTTGTCTCTTATGAACTTTTTGGTTCTGGGCTTTACTCCCAGGTCTCTGATCCACCTTGAGTGGATTTTTGTGTGTGGTGTGAGATGTGGATCCTGTTTCAGCTTTCTGCAGGTAGCAGGCCAGTTTTGCCAGCAGCATTTGTTGAAGAGGTTGTCATCTCCCTATTTGCTAGCTTTGGTTTCCTTGTCGAATATTAGTTGACCATAGATAGCTGGGTCTATTTCTGCATTCTCAATTCTGTTCCATTCATCTATGAGCCTGTTTTTGTACCAGGACCATGCTGGTTTGGTTACTACTGCGATGTAGTAGGTTTTGAGGTTTTGTTTCTCAGAAGTGTTTTGCTTATTCGGGGTTTCTTGCTTCTTCAAATAAATGTGACAATTTCCCTTTCAGTATCCTTGAAAAATGAATTTGGTATCTTGATTGGGATTATATTGAATATGTAGATTGTTTTTAGTAGAATTGTAATTTTCACTATATTGAGTCTTCCTATCCATGAACAGGGCACATTTTTCCATCTTTTTAGGTCTTTTCTTGTGTTTTGCAGAAATGCTCTGCAGTTTTCTTTGGACAGGGCTTTTGTACCTCTAGATAGGTTCACTCCCAAGTATAAGAGACTATTGTAAATCAATAAAGGCTCCACACGTAAAGGCACATGGAGAGGCAAAAACCCGGACGGCTTACTCTTGGCATCTGTGGTAGTTCCCTTTGCAGATTCCCTGACAAAGTCAATTCCCGTGAAGCACACCCACCTGCATGTAAGGTGATGGCAGAGACGGTGCCTGGTGACAGGAGCCCGTGCTTGTGGTGTGTGCTTTGCTGGCGTGTGAGTGTGCATCTTCTCCGTGTGTGCATCGCTGGGAGGGGGGTGTGTGTGCGTCTCCTCCGTGAGTGCATTGCTGGCGTGTGTGTGTGCCTCTCCCCACATGTGTGCATCGCTAGCATGTGAGTGTGTGTGTGTCCTTCGTGTGTGCGTGTCCTCCGTGTATGCATTGCTGGCATGTGAGTGTGTGTCTCCTTCGTGAGTGCATCGCTGGGGGGTGTGTGTACATCTCTCGCATGTGTGCATGTGTGCGTCTCCCACGTGTGTGCGTCGCTGGCCTGTGTGTGAGCGTCTCCTCTGTGTGTGCGTTGCTGGCATGCGTGTGTGCATCGCTGGGGTGCGTGGGTGTCTCTCCCCGCACACGTGCGTCTCCCGTGTGTGTGTGTGTCTCTAAGCAAAGGGCAGCCTTTGACCTCATTGTGTTCTGGTCGCCTCTCAGAGAAGGCTGCGGGGGTGCAGGGACGGAGCTGACCCCACTCCCTGCTGTGGCAGCTGCTGTTCAGGGTCCTGCAGAGTTCTCCAGGAGAGGCCACAAAGCAGGACATACAGCACGTCAAGTTCAGCAGAGAAAACCAAGGCATGGGCTTTGCTGGCTCGGCCTGGACACGTGCTGCTTTGGGACCAGCTCCATCTGCAGATGAGGCTGCGTTCCAAGGAGGTGGAGGATCTCTGGGACAGGGCACAGGGTGGCCTGTGTGCGGCCTCCCGGAGTGGTGTCCAGCCTGAGGGCCGTCGCCCACAGCGATGGTGATGCTTGGGGGCCATCGTCAGCAGGACTCCCAGTGGCATCGTGTGACACAGTAGACCTGCCCCAGTATTGGGGACCTGCCCAAAGCAGGAGAGCCTGCCAGTGTTCCTCTTGATCCACATGGCTGTCCCCACTCTTTCCTTTCAACCCGAAGTCCCCCTGCTGGCGCCACTCCCACTTCTGCCCACCTTCCCAGCCTTCTTCTTGGTCCTCCCAGTCCCACGGCTTCCCGGCTCAGCTCATCGCTCCCTCAGCACCTAACAGAACAAACACGTTGCATGGGCACCGAGCCCCGCCCTGGTGGGCCCCTCGCAATGTCAGCGTAGAACTGCCCCTGGAAGCAGACCACCAGCTTGCCTCTGGACTCAGGTCCCAGGGGGTCTTTAAGCTGAGAGTATAGGAAGCAGACCACCAGCTTGCCTCCGGAGGCAGGAGGCAGGTCCCAGGGGGTCTTTAAGCTGAGTGTGTCGGAAGCAGACCACCAGCTTGCCTCCGGAGGAATGTCCAGGTGAGCTCACGCTGCCAGCGCCATGCGTGGTACTCACTCCCGCGGCAGTTGAGTCAGAACTGACTCAGAGCTGATCCCCCAGCGAATCCACGGAGAAAGAAGGTCCGTCTCCCACCTTTCTCCAGCGGCAGCTGGTGTGTCCGACCTGGCAGAGTGGTGCTGCCGGTGGGTGGGTCATCAGATAACTCCCTGCAGACTGGGCCGCGAAGGTTAGGAGCTGAGTGCGTGGCCGTTGGCTCCACTGGGGACTCACCGCACTGATAAGAAGCCAACCCTTTCCCCATTGTTGTGTCTGCATGACCCTGTATCCCGGCACCAACCCAGCAACCTGGAACCTTCCACAGACCAGAGTGCTCTCAGCTGCTCCTAACTGCGGCAGGAAGTGCCAGGGGGCGCATTTTGCATATGCAGTCATGGTATTTGTTTCTACTCCTCCACTTATATTCTCGCCTCTTGCTGTCATTCTCTTCTTAGAATGGTGGATTGGCCTTCACTTTCCTAAATGAACAAGAGTAACACAGACCGAGGGTAGTTTGATGGTGATGTGAAATGTAGTTTACAGAAAGGTGAAGAGGGGGAAAAAAGTTATTTCTTCCCCACTAGAAGTAAAAGCTATATTATGTGTGCTTTGAAACTCAATAAAATGCAGATTGGTGTGGGATATTTATTTGCAGGAAAAGAAGACGGGACTGGGTAATCAGTGAGAGAAGAGAGCCGGGGTCAGCGGCAGGCAGCCTCGCAGGCTGGGCCTTGGGGTGCTAACAGGGGCCTCTGCTGTTGGGACATGTGTGGCTCGCAGAGCCCTGAGCGCCTAAAACACTGGTGGGACTGAACGGTGTGGCAGCAGTGGGCCAGCCAAGTGCTCAACAAGACAGGTCTCAACTCAGTCAAAGGGAAAAATGATCAAAACAGGAAACAATGTGGAGACGGCTCAGCCATTCAAGCCCCGCAGCACTGCACGCGTGGGGTGATGTGATGGGCTCAGTTCCAGAACCTTCTGGTGGGGACACACTCTTAGGGGGCTGGGTGAGACGCAGGTGAAGCCAGGGTCACTCAGAAGGCTGCTGGCTGGTGGGGATGACCACGACCATGGCGGGGTGAGGTCAGGTTCGAGGCTCCGGATCTGCAGTCAGCGTGACTGAACAGGAGGCTTTGTAAGTCCCTGAAGTCGCAGCATCCACACTGCAGACCCGTGACCAGGTCTGTTCTCTTCACTGCAGGAGAGATGAGCCCATCGGAAGCCGTGGCCCCCACCATCGTGGTCCCTCCGGGCAACAGGAGCGTGGTGGCCGGAGCCAGCGAGGTGACCCTGGAGTGCATAGCCAATGCCAGGTACGCTCTGGGCCTTTGCCGGGCACTGGTGGTGGCACAGTGGAGGCACTCAGCACACTACTGAGCCAGTGCCAGCCCTGGGGGTTGTTGTGGCCACTGGGTTGTGGCCACCTGACTTTCAGAAGGAGATGGCCAGCCCTTTCCTCCTAGTCCATCTTGTACTGGAAGCTCCTCTGAAATCTGCACACAAGCACCCATAGGTGGCCAGGTAGTGGCTGTGCGTGGGACACACTGGCCAGGCAGTGAACATGTATCTCCCATGTAACCCCTGCTGGCGGGGTGTTTCAGCTCATATGACCCCAGGATGGGGTACAGCTGCCCCATGGGGTCTCCTAGGCTGGGAGGGGACTGAGGATTCATCTTTCCCACAGAGGGCTGATGGGTTCAAACCACTGACAGCCCAGCGCTTACCCAGGGTGCCACCTGGAGTCCTCGGGCCTCCCCACTGCAGGCAGTAATTTCACCGGTGTCACCACTGTCCCGGTTCCTCACTTGGGGGCACTGAGTCCACTGGGATGAGATGACACACGGTCACTCTTCAAGCCATGGTGGGCATCTGGGGGCTGGAGTGGGCACTCTGGAGGTGTAGCCTGTGGGAGCTGTGCTGCTCTCTGCAGCTCGGATTCACGAGCAGCTCTGTGAAAGAAGACAGGCAGTCTCCTGCCTGGGGGTCAGCTAGGAGTGGAGTGGCCATGGTGGGCTGCCTGCTGCTGGCGTGCGGCACTGTGGAGGTGGGCTGGGGCGGTGAAGGTTGGGGTGCAGCACTGTGGAGGTGGGCTGGGGGCGGTGAAGGTTGGGGTACAGCATTGTGGAAGTGGGCTGGGGGTGGTGAAGGTCGGGGTGCAGCACTGTGGAGGTGGGCTGGGGGCGGTGAAGGTCAGGGTGCAGCACTGTGGAAGTAGGCTGAGGGTGGTAATGGTTGGGGTACAGCATTGTGGAAGTGGGCTGGGGGTGGTGAAGGTCGGGGTGCAGCACTGTGGAAGTGGGCTGAGGGTGGTAATGGTTGGGGTACAGCATTGTGGAAGTGGGCTGGGGGTGGTGAAGGTCGGGGTGCAGCACTGTGGAGGTGGGCTGGGGTGGTGAAGGTCGGGGTGCAGCA